TTTCTTGGCCCAAACAGACCCCTCTTTTTGAAACAATCTCTGGGGGTACTTTTTGTGCGCCTCGTCCTGGCGGAGAATTTTCCTTGAATTGGGCGATTCACAGTAAAGCGCCACCAAGAGTTTGCAATGCGCTGGCCAATCATAACGCGCAAAATCTGTCAGCCATTCCCAAACGCGCATTGGGTCGACAAATTTCGCGCACTGTGATGGCCAACGCGTAGCAAACTCTTGGTGGCGCACTATTGTGAAACGGCCGTATTGATCATAATTACAAAAATGACATTGGGAAGTACATCAACTTTCAACATGGGGTCAAATATCCATCCTGAAACCCAGAAAGTCCTTAGAAATCATACCCCCGGATTGCATGGTAAATTATGCTTCCCAACTTTTGACTTGGTCTAAGTTCTATGTATCCCTATTTCAAACAGAAAGACAATAGAAATGCAATCACAAAACGTACATACAAATTCACATACAAAAATGCTTTTATTGTAACTAAAATAGTGCCGATTTTGGCAATGGGTAAAAATTCACATTCCTCCGTTTAACAATCTTTTTTCTAAGTCATGAAATACTACATTTAGAATTCTGACAACAGTTATAAGTTCCGTTTACACGTACATCAGATACCAACATAAAAGTAAATGACACTGGACAACAAAAGTATGAAGTCTTTGAAAATTCTTTGCCTCTCTCCAAAAACTTTTAGTGTTGCATTATAACATGGACAAACGTGATCATGAGTTAATGGTGTAATAAGCCTTGGTTCAAGATGTCACTGTCATGGTTTTGAAGTTAGGTTTCCCTTGTCAGTTCATTGCCTCTCAGTGGTGCTCTGTGCATTCCAAAACACATCTTGAGCAAAGACTACTACCATCCATGTGATGCTGTTGTAGCAAGTGAACATACATGTATATTTCTGACTAACATTTACATGTAAAAAGTACACTTGTTACCAAAATGTAGATTTGGTCATTACTACTCCAAAGGACAATATTGACTTGAATGCCAGAAACTCACAAAGAATGCTGAATTAAGAACTCCAAGCGCATGCATGTAATTCCCCTGTGGCTAATAACGATGTCAAAAGGACAAAAACAATCAGAGATACACAGGACATGTACATGTACAACTAAATACACTGGGCAAAGTTCACGCAATCTCGGTAACCAATAATACACAGCTCTGTTAGTTTAAAATAATGCAGCTCTTTTCATCAAACAAGGTACATGTACAAGCCACTCAGATTTACAAAACCAAAACATCACATTTTAGGGTGCGGGGTCTTGTCTTGCATGAAAAACGTCCATTTTGAAATTAGTCCTTTCTTCTAATTATTCTCATGCACTTTACAGTCCTCTTCCTCTTTTCAAGAGAGCTTTTTTTTTCCTTCCAAGTACAAGCAATTTTTTTATCGGGGGAGATTCATAAATTTCAAATACAAGAAATTGATGCACTGACTGTCTGTACCAGAAAAATGTGAAAACTGCCAAAATTAATCATGTGAAACAGGATAAATGTGTTGGCATAGCACATGAGAAGCTCTTAAACTCTGTCCTATTGGGGAATGATAATCTTCAATTTCATGCGTTGACATCAAGCATACATGGACAAGATCATCGGGCTCACTTGAGAGACCATTCCACCAACAAAAGGGCCCACAACCCACCAGCAAAGCCCAGCCTGACATCGAAAATCCCTTAAACATGTCAGAAACACTGAGATTAACACCTGGAAACCTATTTGTGGACAAGTAGGCAATCCAGCTGTGAAACTTTACACAAACGTGAACAGGAACTTTTTTTTTTCTGTACCAGGTCCAAGGTCTTGGGCATGAGACACAGCTGAAGTTGTGTCTCCACAAGTGCATGGAAGGACAACCATGAACCAGTTGTACGAACACTCACATAGTTGCTACTTCTATACAAACATGTACACATGTACACCTGTGCATGTTGCAAAAGTGCATACAGGCTGAACCCTCCTAAAACTGAGATCACATTAGCACTGGAATTTCTTTGACTGCATTCACAACGAGATTTTGTGATGGACATTTTACCGCTGTTCAAAAAGAATATTCAAGAACAGAGACAAAAGATAGACAGAATTCATTATTCGGATGTTGTATGTACATATATTGAATGTCTACTGTTAGTGTACAAATGCAGTGAGAGTCAATATTACATGTACGTGAAATGAATTGCAAGATCACATTTAACTAACTGCATGCAAAATGCCTAGCATCTAATAATTCTAACTGGCAAACCAAAACTGGACAAACATATCGATTATAATAATTAGTTTATACAGTGCAGTAAAAACGGGAGCAGAATTTTTGAACACATTGGACAACTCTCTTCGAGTGTTACCCTGCTTCTAATTAAAAGACTGTCAACAGCCAGCACATTCACTTACTTCCCTCGCACTCAATCTGTGACATCATCATCCGTTTAGGTAGACATGCATAACATGCGGTAATACACGAATGATTTCGGATTCCTTGCAGTGCCTGACAAGGTATGCACGTACATTCGTCACCATTTCAAAAACTGAATCTGAATGGTTGAAAGCAAAAGACATCCAAAACACAGATTTTCTTTCACAAAACTTAGTTAACTTGAGCCAATATGAAAAGACGTTCAACTGTTCTCAATTCCTCACAATGATGACAACTTTCCTACAAAGCTGCCATGTTGTGCACAACCGGTATATTGTTAGACACTTCCCCTTCAGCAGGTAAGTCACTTGGGCCAAGCCCGAATAAGGCCGAGATGTCGTATCAAATCAAATAAAGTTATTCTTGCACGAGTGAGAGCAGGGCAAGTAATCGAGTATGCCAACTATATACTATTCAAAGATATGTTCCATAACAGACTTGCTAGAGAAAGCGATTTACCTGGGAGGAGATAAACTTCAACGAGTGACTAACGAATTCACTATCACGAGTGTATGACGTCTTGCAAATGCAGAGGCTCCATATGTGCATGTCATTACATTTTCTGACAACCTTGAAAAACAGATTTCCATTGTTACCACTGCTTGCCAGAGGTCCCACGCACTCACTCACTCACACACACACACACGCACTTGAAATGCTTCATGATCATTTTAATATCTTGGCACCACATGTTCGTCTTAAAGAGCACCTTAAGGTAAAATGAGGGGAACCCTCGCCCAGTGTTTGAAGTGGATAAACCCTTGTGCATGCCAAACAATGCATGTAGCCATTGTTTTCTGTTTTTCCTCAACGATGCTATCTACCTCTAGAATTCTCATCTTGGCATGAACAGAAAAAAAGCCCTTTTAAGCTCGTTTTAGGTGAGTTCTGAAGACAAATGACACTGCATTCCATTTGGATGCTTCCATATTTATTCGAACAATCATGTTTTACGTAGAGGTGCTCTTTAATACCAACCATTTGACCTAGAGAAGAGAAAATTTCCTTGTAAAACTCTCACAAATCATTGGACCCATCACCTGCCATCAGTGTGATTCTTTTTTAAATAAACCGCCAGTTGGTCAGAAACACGAACACAAGGTTAATGACAAAGTGCGGGGAGGGATTTTGAGCAAGGTAGGGGGAAGGGGGAGAGGACAGGTCTTAGCAGGTGGTGGAAAGGGCTGGAAGGTTGGAGCAGGATTCAAAGCGGGATGTCAATGGGGAAAACATACCAACAGAGTATGGGGAATAGGCCGTCAATGACAAGAAGTCCTAACATGTTTATGTACAGTATATTTACAAACTCTACTGCCAATCTAAATCGTTTTTGTACACTCTCAAGTCAGGTTGAGATATTGGGTAAATGTGACAGGAGATCCTCAGTCAGCATAGACTACTCAAATACTACATTATACATACCAACAAAAACTACATGCACAAGCACAAGCACAAGTGAACAAAGCATAGTATACTCTTCAATTTGTTTTTAAAAATCCAAACACAACAGGTCAAAAAATAGTTTATAAATGACATAAAAACGTAATATCCATGTGGTTTTGTCTGATGTACATGTATTAATCAATACTTTTTTCTGTTCAAATCATCGCCTCTTTCCATCTACAAATGTACAATTTAACTTTTCAAGGGCTGATTGTTAAGATTTCAGCATTTCACATTGTAAAGGAGTCACTGCTTAGAAATGGAGTGGGCAATACAGTCTAGTAGACTCAGTGTGGTACACAGAAACTCCACTTTAACACCATATCAGAGACAGACTTGCCAGATTTGTGATAGTTTCATCCCAAGTGTCCCATTTTGCAGAGCCTGTCATTCAAACTCTCCACCAGTTGGAAGTGTGCTCATCTTCACCATACACACCTCACCCGTTCAGTGAAAAACTTGTCGATGAAAAACATCTTCTGCATCTCTGTGCACCAAGTTTTCATCGCTATTAGAGCCTTGTTTCCAGTGGGGAACAAAATAACTCAACACTGGGGAGAAATTTGAGAAAACAGATGAAGATGCCCTCAGAAACCTGTGTCCCACAGCAACAACAGGGGCAGGGCAGGATGGACTAGAGCAGGGAGGGGCAGGGCAGGACAGGACTCACAATGTCTTGCGGACTTGTTCGGGGCCATTGACCTCATCATCTTTGGATTCCGTATGCCAGGTCAGTCTTTCCTCATAGAAGGAGATGACCACCTGTGGACATTTCACATTGGCTTCTTTGGCTCGGACCAAGTCTGCTCGATCACTGCCTTTCCTTCAAAACAAACAAGAAGACACTTCCATCACCAAAAAATGTTTTTCTTCCAGAAAACTGAAAAATCCCTGTCAATGGAATTGAAACAAGTTCAACATTCAACCATATGTGCATGCTGTTGAGGTGAAATAGGTTGTGACTATTCAGAACCAGTCTACAGGCTGCAAAAGAAAAAAAAAGAAAGTGGTTCTAGCTTTTCTAGATTCCAGGTCACATGTGCAGTTTCCAATTGCCAGCCTTAAAATTCAACAAACTACAAAAAGGCAACCATTGTACATGCATGCATCAACATCTTTGCCCTAACATCAATGCATTGCATACCTCATGCACACATTTCGCCACTGATCAAAAATTTGGCAGATTACCAAATTCCCTGAAGGAGGAAATGTTCATGAGTAAACTCAAGACTGCAATCTGGAATGGCACCAGAGCGAGCATACATTGTTGTGATTTACAGTCCCATGTGAAAAACAAGAAATACATGTACCATGAGAACTCAGGGCTAAAATGATGCAGACGTTTATTTCCGGGGCTAAGAAACCAGGCTATGACCTTGACTTAAGACTAACTTCACACAGGAAAAAACGTGGGCAAAAGTTCTTGCGCCAATTGAAAGTTTGTTGTCATATTTGTAAAGATGAATACAACACTTAAGTTTTAAAATTGATGGCAAGACTCCATAGTAACAGTTGAAATAAAGAAGCTGAAAAAAACAAAAACAGAACTTGGTTTTGCTACAAAATGTCCAGTGGACTAGTGGAAATTCCTGCTGACAAGTAAAAATGAGTTCAGTTGCCTGTTAGGCTAGTTAAAAAAAGCTCAAGGTCAAGGCGGGTTGAGGTACAGAAAAGGGAGTATATAATGGTTTGTTCCAAGTAGATAAATGTGGTCAATATTACTTATAAAAGTCAAGACTTTTCTCCTTTCCGAAAGTTAAATTCCGCTTTCTAAATTTTGTGTACAAAAACTGTATGTGACTGTACATGTACTGCAGGCCTACATTTACCAAAGTATCTTTCGCATAATGATACATGTAGGGCCTACATGCACCATGCCACTGTGATCTTGGACTGGTCCCCGTCCGTTTTGATTTATTCATAAACCATGAGACGTCTGGGTACTATGTAGGAACGGGGACCTGTGTGATCTCTGCAGTGTGGAGACGTAGGAAATCAATACTGAATTCTGCGACATCGCAAAGGAAAAACAGGAGGGGAAACGCTACCAAATGTTACTTTCAAATTGAGTTAAACAGTGAAAATGAGTTGTCATTCCTAATTTGGGTTCAAATTTATTTGATTAATTGTACAGAAACGATCAAAAATATTTGTTTTATTTATTTTTTTTTAAGAGAATTGCGTTTTCCGCTTTCTACCCCCAAATCCGTGATTTCCGCGAAGCAGAAAATTCGTGACTTTACTTATACCTCTCCTTGGTTTTGGACCTCGACAAACTAGTTCCCACCTCAACGGCAGATAGTATTGGACTATCCACCTTCAAACCATGATACAGATTAGTCTCCGTTCACTCTTTGCCTCACCATTTCATTAAGAAGATGAGTTCTCCATCTTTCTCCGTGGCTCCCAGGATCTTCTCCGGTTCCAATTTTCTGTCAAATCCCTCAGGTTCCGTGGAACCTGATGACGTGCCCTCAATGGTCTTGCTGCTGATGTCATTTGATTTGGCTGACACCTAGATGTGAAACAGTCCGAGGAAATTGCGTACATAAAACAGTCTTGTAATTGAATACATGAAACAGTCGTGTAGGATATGTCAAAAGAAGGAAATGATATGAAACCTACAACGTACACGTGCTCCTATCAGAATCATGTGCACCAGGCCAGCTCAATGAGTAGACGATGAATTTAAGAAACATGTGGCTAGCAACTAAATTGTATACGCAGTGTCTGTACACATCTGTGGTGGCTGGGTTCATTTTTTTTTCACGTCAAGGACATCCCATAATTCCCGACAGTATTACTTTCAACCTTAACAACTTGCTGCTGGGGAACCCCGTTTCGAGCACCATGAGTTTATACGCAGAGCCGAGGTGCCCAAAATGGGAAAGAAGAGCTGGTCTGTGAAACAAAAGACCGTACTCGGAACAAAAGACCTGCTGCTGGGAATTGCCATCATTTTTCGAAGGTAATCCGTCACTATCTTTAAACAGTACACCACTGTTTTGGGTGTAGCCCGCCCGTGGATTAGCACTGGGGACAAAAGTGCTCCAGGGCCCCACTGATGAGTGACCACTGCATGCAAATCCAGCCGTGTTTGAAAAGACGCCACTCGCATTCACTTGGGACAAAGGAAATTACGTAACACCTCACAATTCTGGGCTCTCTTTACAGGGCAGCAGGCCTGGCTGATATATTCAGGAGTCAATGAAGGTTGCCTGTCAGCTTAGAATAGACGCCAGTCAGTCATTTGTGTGGGTGTAAACATCCAATAAATGAAGCGATGAATTTTTGAAGAATTTTAAAAACTGAAAATCTCGAAAATCTCCCATGTGTGTGCACTGAATTTTTAAAAGCACCTGGCAGCAAGTGCATAAACACCCTTTAACTGATGGGGTTCAATGGAAAACACTAGCTGTGCCAGACACAAGTTTCCTCGTGGGATGGGGGAGAGACGAGGGTATAGAGCAGAACGTGACAAAATGTTCTGACATACAAAGCACATACCAGGGACAAGTTGACTTCACAGATTGCTTTGCCAAGCCTTTGCACATTCTGTACCATTAGGCCCACGACCTTGATGCTTACGCCACATGAAAGTGCAGAGTACAAAAATTAGAGCCCCCTCTCCTCTGCCCCTCCCGGTTTACACAAGGCTTACATGTC